CGTATAACATCCCTCAAAAGCTTTAAACCGCATTTACTGGACTTGCATCATCATCATAGGGTCGTCAGTCCTAAGACTGGTTGGACACGTACCTCCACTCTTTCCTATCCTGAGCTAAACTTTGCATTTCCCTAAAACTAGAACAGCCCACATCCTTAACTATTTGCGAACAGTAATCTAATCTAGGTCTACCTCTACCCCTCCTAACTCCTGTTTCTGCCTCTAATGTCTCTGACTAGACCTTCATGCCTGAGAAGGTGTCCTACCAACCTATCTCGCCTATTTTTTATTGACTTCCACAAAGTCCTCTGCTATTCTTATTATTCCTATTCTTTCTAATACCTCTTGATTTCTAACCTTTTCTACCCACGTTATCCTTGCATTATTTTATTATTTGTATGAAAAGGTAGTAGAAAGTATTTGTACGAATTTTCTTACTTTTCAAAAGGTGATGCCGCACTTGAACGTAACAAAATATTCTGTGTTCTCTTCTCAACTTGCCACTTGTGTACACAATATAAAGACCGGAAATTTTGTCTAATAACACATTCGTAGAAGAAGACATTTCAAATTAAAAGTTTTGTGCATAAATGCATTCATGCACTATCAGAACTACCAGTACTGTTTTCGCGTGTAATCTTCATTAAACTGTGAGTCATTGAAAACAATGGGTCTATCTTCTTTTAGCTTTATAGCAGTGCACTGAAATAGTGATTTAATTCACGTTCATACAAATATGTGTAACGACGTAGTGAGTAACAAAATAACATTTATGTACTATCGTATGTATAGTAGTCACAATTTTATTGAACATTTGATCGATTTTATAATGTACTTTTTAGGTACACAGGTAAGTTCCGTTAAATCATTACATAATAAGCAACTTAATATTTTAATTATTTTTTACGTCGGAGGTCAAGTAAACGAAAGTTATTTTCCGCGGTTATACAACATTAGGTCGGTGTTGTTTTTTTAAGGTCGCAATTTGTTGTATCATCTACATTATTCTTATTGTAATATTACTTTCCAAATTGGCGTAATTGATGACACGCCGAATATATCAATAGCTTTGCATAAAACTAACAATTGAATTTGAATATTTTTTCTAATATTTTTGGATTGTTTTAACTTTACGTTTGTTCTAAATAAGATGTAGTAGTTTCCGTTTGTTATGTACTTTCTTTACATGTCTGCGGATTTTCTTCGTCGTAATTACAATAGCAATTTTTTAATACAGAAAATGTGTTAATGGGTATGAACATTAAAAAAAAATATTTTACCTAAGTAAAATATGTAGTCATAACAGTGTATCGCCATCTACTATATCTGCTGCTAACTGAAATATTTCATATGTTAAGATAATGGCTTCATTAATATAGCAATTTTTTAATACAGAAAATGTGTTAATGGGTATGAACATTAAAAAAAAATATTTTACCTAAGTAAAATATGTAGTCATAACAGTGTATCGCCATCTACTATATCTGCTGCTAACTGAAATATTTCATATGTTAAGATAATGGCTTCATTAATAANACAGAAAATGTGTTAATGGGTATGAACATTAAAAAAAAATATTTTACCTAAGTAAAATATGTAGTCATAACAGTGTATCGCCATCTACTATATCTTCTGCTAACTGAAATATTTCATATGTTAAGATAATGGCTTCATTAATAAGAAAGTATCTACTTGTCCAACTAAATCAATGACACAGCTTATCTATACAGGGGTAGTAACCAAGGTCTAATCGGTCTGTAATATGTCATAAGAAATAATAGAAAATTTGATGTTTGCAGTGTTTTGCGCTATTTTGAATATCTCCGAACAGAAAGCACTTAAATTTTCATCTTTTGTTTATGAGAAGAATAGCGTACGTTTACATAACATTACATATCCATATACCATATGAAATTTATCAATTCCAACATTTACAAATTCAAATAGGAATAACTAGAACACCATACTTTTTTGTTCGCAATACTTCAATTAATGCTTTTAATGATTTTCGATTTGATCTGAGATTTATTAAGACTGCTTACAGGATGCTGATGAGATCTACTGAGGTCAACATTACTATCCTCGTCAAGTAGTTTCAATAAATTGCTAATTAAGAATTTATACAGTTCTTACTAGTTGTAAATAAAATAATCACCGCCTATGTTTAAGTCTGTGGAATTTTTATAGGTACAGTAGAACATATTAATTTATTATAAAATAATTGTATATCAATACTACAGAACCTTACAGTATGCATATATAGGGTGTTCCACCTAAGACGGTTTCGTCCATAACTCTGGAATCATATGTTGTACATACAGAGTGCTGCATTTCTTCTTGACGCTACCTAACTTCGTTATTTAAAATGTAACACCCTGTATACTTTTACATTTTTTGTTTCTTTGTTTAATTTTAGGTCGACTTTGTTAACAGTTTCCTGCACTTAACTCCAGTAGTTTTTGATATATTCAACTGTTTTTGAAAAAAATATGATACAGTCGACTCTCGTTAATTCAAACCTGCGATAATTCGAACCTTTCTATAATTCAAAGTTATCACGAGTTCCCTCTTATAATATTTCGAACTACATCAATACATTTTTAATGCACTTGGTAATTCGAACGAAAAAAATCATTGCTACGTAACAAAACGACCCGCTAATTCGAACTCATCGGCGTCAAACACTCGACAATTCAAAGTTGCAGAGAGAAAAAGACAGAGAGATTGTAAGTACATACATTTTGAGGCAAGTTCAAACTTGTATCATCGTATCATCTTTGTTTGACACACACTTCCGCACGAAAGATTAAATTTCGAACCATTTGATATTTCAAACACTCGATAATTCGTAATGCAATGAATGAAGCATCTAAACCATAAAAGCTGAATACCTGCGGATTGGACAGTTCGTTTTAGCACGAATTACCGTATCTTTTTGCTAAGAGAAAAATATGTACGTTATTCAGAGCCGGAAATATCGAAACCTACTTTTGACAATCTTATAAAACGAATAACTTTTTTTTTCAAATGGAATAACCCATATTAAATGATACCATTCGATGCGAAATTAAAAACCTTTTCAACTGATATAAGGTTTGAGATATAAAATAATCGATTTTTTCGTACTTAAAAATTAAATAGTGAAATTGTTTTATGAAGTTGTGATTAGTTGAAATGAACAAAAGTATTAGGTGTGCATTTTTTGAATAGACATTTTTTTATTTCTTTTAATAACGTGGGTGGTTCTTTCAAGAATTAATCAAAATATATATACCTACTACCGCATTGGAAAAAAAATGCAAGTTGGCAGTTAATACCATCATGGACGTGATCACGTATTTTGCATTGTAATTGATCCTCGTTTCGATACATGTGTGCATAATTTTCACGTGTGATAGTCAATACGACATCCTAGCAGCCACCTAAAGGCACTTTGAAGTGCCACAGTAAGCAAATTAAATTCCAGAATTTGTTTCTGAATGTTACTAGCACTTCGGTGTAGTTAGTTACCATACATTAACTCGCGAAGTTTCTGCATAATGTTCACGTTACGAGTATATACTATAAAGGAGTGAATTAATGTTATTATTATTTTAGGAATGCATTTATTTAAGTGCATATTTACATTTAATACATGCAAAGTTAATTTATATAGTTTTTAGCGAATATTTCTAAAAGATTGTGCTGTTTCTTTATATTCTTTAGATAAACTATTACTGGTTTACTCTCAATATTATTTTCGATTGTATGATATAAAACATTATTTCTTTATTACTTATTTAAAAAAGCTTTTGACAATGTTAAATGGGACAAGATGTTAAATAAACTTGAGGAATATATATTCAGAGGCAAACACTTAGTATACTTAGATTTGAAGATGATATTAAAGATCTTAAAACCTTAAACATAGTGTAAGCGGTATTGATAAAACAGTGTGGTATGAAAATAAATAAAAGTAAAATAAAAATACTGGTATGTAAGAGAAGAAAGCGTAGTGAGTAAAGAAAAAGTGAATATAAAGATGGGAGACGAGAAATTAGAAGAAATGGCTTCTTTTAAAATAAAAAAATTGTTAACGGTATATGTCTAGTACGGGTACGAAATGTGTTCGGTGGGTGCAGCGGTAATGAAAAGATAAGAAGCGTTTCAAATGTGGTGTTTCAGACAAATGATGAGGATACCGTTAGAAATGAGGAGATATTAGAAAGAGTAGAAGAACAGAGGGCGTTATGGAAGTCGATAAGTAGTAGGAGAGCTAAATTGGTGGGATACTTTTTCATGGACGAAGGGCTAGTTAGAGATATATTAAAAGTAGAAATTGGAGTTAAGAGGAGTAGGGGTAGACCTAAATTGGATTATTGTTAACAATTAGTTAAGGATGTGTAATGCTCTAATTCTAGAGTCTTAGGACTGCCGATCTTTTGAAAGGTTGACGAAATCATTGAGATTTTGATAGTTGTAAAATTCCCAGGCAGGTATTACAGATCTTACTATTGTAAATGGGATTACAGCTTTACATTTACAATTCTAGACAATAGTGATAAAATGTATTAATAAAACGTCTAATATTGGTGTAAGTAAGCAAGATGTTGAAGAGGGCTGTTTCTGAATGTGACTGCTACGTGGACTGCTGTTCACGTAATAATAGTACTTTATAATATANGTAAGTAAAGGAGATGTTGAAGAGGGATTTGCTGAATGCGACTGCTGCATGGACTACTGTTTGCGTAATAATACTACTTTGTGTTACATTGATATCTACCGTTTGGTAATGCTCGGATTTAGCAGATGACACACATGCAAGTTTTTTTTATTCTTACTATCGATCTTGAAGAAACCTATAATGACGAATGGCTTTATAATTATGGATCCATATATTCGATTTATTTTACCCCTTTTATATATGTGCAGGAATTGAGGTTAATTGATTTTGTTTTATTAATCTTTGGATTTTTTGTTTGTTATAAAAAATACTTATCAGTGTTTACGTTTTGTTTCAGAAATAAGTGCAAAAATGAAAAACGGCGCCGCGAACAAGAGAACATCTACATAGAGCAATTGGCAGAGCTAATATCCGCCAACTTCGCGGACATGAGCTCGCTATCAGTTAAGCCAGACAAGTGCCACATCCTCCAAGAGACCGTTAACCAGATTCGTTCAATAAGCCAGCTGGAGAACTCGTCCAAATCTTCAGATCCCGTCCAGCAGGGAGAGGTGTCCTCCTCGAGGCCCACCATCCTATCCAACGAGGTGTACGGGCCCCTGCTGTTAGAAGCTCTGGAGGGTTTCTTGTTCGTCGTCAACGCCGAAGGTAAGGTCGAACACGTCACAGACAACGTCACCAATTACATCAAGTTTACGCGCGAGGACATCCTCGGGAAAGACATCTACAATATAATCCATCATGGTGACCATAATAGGTTTATTTCGAATCTGTTGCCCATGTCCATAGGCTGGACGAACGAACCAACAAACAAATCGCGTTCCTTCAATTGCCGTTTCCTAGTCAAACCGGACGACCAAGACGAAAGTATCGAAGAAAAACAGCAACGCGTTAGTCGGTACGAGTTGATGCACATTTCTAGTACTCAGTTACGAGATCAAGTGTCCGTATCATCGGGCGAAGACGAATCCTCGGACAACGGTCCGTGTTTGTTGTGTGTCGCGTCGCGTATCACCAGTCGCGAATTGCCATCCACGTTCAACATCGAACAATTTACTACCAAGTTGGACGCAAGCGGTAAAATAATTGGCGTGGATACGTCCGGGGTGTCCGGTACGTATTCCATTTATTTGAATAAAGACCTTATGGGCCGGAACATTCAAGATCTGTGCGTGCAACAAGAAGTGCATAAACTCGCGTCACATCTTAGGGACACTCTGAGTGCCGGCCAGTCGACCAGCATAGTCTATCGGCTTCGTTTTGGCACCGGCCAACAGGAAAAATACGTACACGTGCAAACTAAGTCGAAATTGTTTAAGGCTAATCCCCACTCGGCTGCCGAGACGGATTTCATCATGGCCACCCACTCTATTATAGGGTAAGTCGATATTTACTTAAACCTACCAGTTTCGGCAATTTATGAAAACATTTTCAAATGTGCAATGACTAAGTTTTCTTTATTGTTATTTTTATTTTGAAATGAGCTTTGTTTTTATTAGACAGCTCTCATTAGAACTAAGAATAAAAAGAGGGATATATATATATTTACTTTTATTCCTTCAATATAATGACTAACTTATAACCATTAGGTATGTATTAAGAATTTTAAATTAGAAGCTTGTTTATTTACAAATTGATTACAAATATTTACTTGCTTACGTCAAATGTATTTATGATACTAAAATTAAATCAATACAATAAGGAATTTAGAGACGATTGTGGTAAAAAAAAGAAAATCTGGTAAGTACTACCTACCATTTTGTGGGCAGATCAAGTCAACTTTCCCATTTGAATTAATTTTTCTTGTACATAATCTTCATGTGTAAAATGCTCCCTTGCCACACGGGCGTTACGGCTACTACAATACTAATTTGTTTATTTGCCGTTCTTTTCATACACAAAGTTATATAGTCATTATTATTTAGTGGAGTAGGTCGGGTTATGGTTGCCCTAGGTTTTCATTTTTACTGTTTTCAAGATTGTGATCGCCAGGAAATTGGCATCCCCAATTTTAAAATTTTGTTTTTTTTTTGTCTTCATTACTCTCTAGCTATCTCTATAGTTTTCGTACGGGTGTGCCAGTAGTTCTGCATTCTTAATAATAAAATCAGAAAAAGTTTCGAGGTGCTAATTTCATGGTGCAGGCTTTTGTCGTATAAAACATTTCTGATACCTAAGAAGGATAATAAATAATATAGAATATAGAGTTCCTGATGATTTTTACTAAGAGTTCTGCAAAATCAGTTTCGTAGAAAAAGATATTTTAAAAAATTGTCTTGGACGGAGTTCCTTTTAAGTTCTTACAACCGCTCTCCACTCTCGGAACATTCCGTCCTGGAATTCTGGGGTGTTCGCTACTTTTTAACCGAAAACGGGATATTTAGCGAATCACAAGTTTAAAAATCAGTGCCTCGCGAATTTCTACAGCAGTTCTGTCCGGAACTACCCTCGACTCCCAAAACTATTTTATCATAGAACTCCGAAGCGCTGACCATTTGTCGAAAACAAGCTTTTTGGCACATTACAATTTAAAAATTCATTGCCTTGGGTTGCTTCAGCAGTTGTAGCTGTGTTTCACACCCGGAACTCTTTTCACCCTAGAACTTCGGGGTACTGGCTATTTTTAAACCCGGAGTTCCGAGCTTCTTAGGTAAGTAGTTCTGCTTAGAACTGCTGTAGGTAGACGCGCGTCAATTTAAATTCGGCGATAACATATTTTTAAGCCACGAACTCATAAGTCAATTGTTAGTGATCCTTTTATTCAATTAATTCCGAGTTGTAGCAAAAGTGCGGTGGACTTTTCGATACAGTTCTTTAGAGACTGAACAGAATTCCCTCCAAAACGATTTTGCTCAGACGTTAATACATCTACATAATTGAATAGCAACAAATTATGGATTGGATTTAGTTTATCATAGTTACTAATAGCGATCCACTGTTTCTCGGAAACAGTCGGAGAAACAAAGTAGCAACAAAATTGCAAAAAATTATGATACTGTTTTGGTACCGCTTTGCATCAGTCAATCTAGAAAAGCTGGCAATTTCACAATGCCATATTCGTAAACGGCCCGACCTTGCACACTCCGCAGACTTCGCCGTTAACATGTGCATATCGTTAGAAGAAGGAAGTACTTACATCTTTTGAGTTCTCAATAACAGTTTCACAAATGTTTTCCCAGGCAGACTGTTTTTTAATTCGGTTTTTAAAGTCCTCACGACTAACATCTCAAACTACGGGGTGAGTTGTTACTTCGCCGACCGTCGATGAAAAGTTCGTTATCCATATTTTCATCAGACACCGGAATGAATATTTGCAGTAGACAAATGAGCACCGTTTTATATTTACCGATATTTTAAATTAAATGCCTAAAAAACATTTCAGACAAACGAACGAAATTTATAAATCATTGTAAAATTATAGATATATTTTAAAAGTTTTCTCTAGACCCGAATAAATTGGGTAGAAAGTCAAACTTATTTGACTCTAGGGTAGCGCATGAATATTCAGAAATTGAAAGCGGTGGTTAGAATTTATGGTAGAGAAAAGAGACCAATGATTCTTCGGGCTGAAATGGTCCACCAAACTGTAACATTTGATGAATGCAGCGGTCTCTGCTGTTTCGATTTAGGATTGTCGTGGGCCCAATAATAGGAATTCTATTTATTTTATTTTATTTTAATGAAAATGGAGATTAAAGACAGTACTTACAACTGTAGGGATAGATATATAGAGGCAAGATCAGTATGCTTAGATTTGCAGTATTAGTAGCAAGGAGAAGTTAGAGATAGCTTCAAATAAAATGCGATACAGACAAAACAGTACTGTATGCAATTAAATAAAAGTAAAACAAAAATACTGGTTTGCAGGACAAGAAAAAGTAGGGAAAGAGCGAATGAAAAGATAGGAGACAAAAAATTAGAAGAAGTGGCCGATTTTAGCTATCTAGGAAGTCAGATAAGTCAGGAGGAAAGGAGTAGTAGGGATTTAAAGCAGAGGCTAGCGCAGGGTCGAGTCGCCTTCAATAAAAAGAAGTCACTTCTATGCTCGCGAACGCTTAATTTAGAAATTCGAAAAAGGTTGTTAAAGGTGTTTGTTTGGAGCACGGCGCTGTACAGGTGCGAAACATGGACGGCGGACGCGGCGAAAATGAAAAAGTTAGAAGTGTTCGAAATGTGTTACAGACGAATGATGAGGATACCGTGGATGGAAACGGTTAGAAATGAAAAGGTATTAGAAAGAATAGGAGAACAGAGGACTCTTTGGAACTCAATAAGAAATAGGCGAGACAGGTTGGTAGGGGACACCTTCTCAGGCATGAAGGTGTAGTCAGAAACATATTAGAGGCAGAAACAGGAGTTAGGAGAAGATATAGACCTAGATTAGATTACTGTTCACAAATTGTTAAGGACGTGGGATGTTCTAGTTTTAGGGAAATGCGAAGATTAACTCAGGATAGGACAGAGTGGAGATGTGTGTCCAACCGGTCTTAGGACTGACGACTTTATGATGATGAGGCAAAAAACGTCTTACAATAATGCGCGAATCACCAGTTTTGTAAAAATATTTAACACAAAACGCTCCTTGTTCACCCTTTAAACGCCCCATTGTGACTAAACATCCAAGAACTTACCTGTTAATCCTCACCATTTGCGCGCTACTCTCTCGCACTGTTTATATTTTTTTTAAATCATCCGTCTTTAATAGCCCACCCAGTATAATATACAGCAGCGCTGTCCAACTTATCATAGCCCGCGGGCCATATTTTCTTCACCAAACATTTCGGGGGCCAAGAGAATTTATAAATTTAGTCAGTTTATGTTAATTAAAAAAATAGTTAGTTATACTAAAGATAAAACTATTGGGATCCGTCTGGTGGCAAAATTTATAACTCGAATGAGGGTAAAATTTACATGTGCACGCAAATTGTAAAATTGTTTATTTTTTTGATGATGGAGTCGACGAAGTTTTCTTCTAATGTTAANCGCGGTCCGTAAAAATAATTTGGCAGGCCGTATACGGCCCGCGGGCCGCCAGTTGGACAGCCTTGATCTATAGTAACAGAAGACTGTGGTGCAAAATTGCTGTGCTTGTTTGTACAAATTTTCAATATTTTTTAATGACAGCGTTAGAATTCATCTATTGTGTGTTGCTAATAAAATTCATTACACTGTAATTATTTATACAAAACGCAGATATAAATTGTTGTACTTGCACTGGAGGTCAGTCAGTTATTAACCTAAAGTTAATGATTTTATTAATAATTGTTTTGCAGTTATGCAATTTACTAAGCTTGTACAATGTACATGGAATCGTTTATTATTTGATATACATAATATACCTACCTTTATGCATGTAGTTACTCAAATAATAAGTAAAAGGATATGTAAAGCGGTATTTAAGAATTTTTCATTTTATTGGTAACTTTATATGTCACCAATTTCTGATGACGATACGGTGACTATTGATTTCACGATTAACTCTCGCCATTTTAAAATTTTCATTATCATCAAAAAGTGTCAACTCATTTTTCTGGTAAAAAGGTCATAACTTTTAGAATGTCTGATAAAGCGATAAGAGAACTTTTTTCTAGAGGTTTGGTTTGTGAAAATAGTAAAGTTTATTAACCTGCGTGGAACTTAATTTCTAATCTTTTTTGTGTATTATTTTGATTACGTGTAATTATATTTCGAATGAGTTGTTACGCATACATTTGTGAAAAAAAATACTTCAATTTTTGTATAACATTATTATTAGAAGGTGGAAGATTATTACAATACAAATTATGTATTATTATAAAGATGTTTTTTTTGTATTCTGCAGATCTTATAAAAACGAATTTATGATAGTTAATTTTTTTATAATATAAGCGTATGTATTTCGTGTCATCTCAATATTTTCTTATGATCCAAACACTACAAAGAAGTACCTATCAGTAATTTTAAAAATTATGAAACAAATATCCTTTAAAAAGAAAACTAGAAACTTCATTTTAGTTTTTATGGCAAAAATAAGATTGGATTTTTTGTTCTTTAGTGAAGTTCAACCATCGTTATATTTTTAGTATAACATTATAGAGTTTTATTTTTCGTGTTTATTAAAGAAATCGTTATTCTAATAATAAAAAAAAAAACACTGCTTAAAACGCAG